TCTCTGCAGGCACGAATGGAGTGGTCTGAACAGGAGCTTGAGTCGGACATCCATCTTATTTTTGAATGTGAGAAACCGATTTAGTTGATCAGAATATAATTTGCTTTTTTCCACTGCGCTAAGCTGTGGTGCATCCATGATTTCTTTCATTCGCTGCTCGGCATCATACATGGCATTTACAAGTGGTGGTTGTCGATACGACTGTTTTTGTATAAACTTTTCAATCTCACCGGGAAGTATGTTGGTCTTGAGTCGTTGTTGATCATCTGTTGTTGGCTTTAAATCCAACATCAAATACCCGTGAGGTCGGCTCGTAACATCTTCATAACTCCTCATAAATTCTTGTACTTTTCCGGGATTTATTTGCCTTGCAAGCATAGAAATGTGTTGTTTATCTCTTGGTGACTTGAACAACACGATATAATGGGCGTTTAGGCTAACATTTCTCATTTCTTTGCCTTGATGAAATATATTTTGAACAATATAGATGATAGATAAATTCCGATGATGACTTCCTTTCGTAAAAAGATCAGAAATACGTTTATCTTTGCCAGATTGAGCCATAAGGTCGTCCAATACGATCAAATTCCGTTGCGATACGTCAAAGTAATCTGCGTTGTCGATGTCTTCGGAAATGCCCTGATTAAACTCGATTCCAGGCATCGTTCTCATCATATCAAAATAGGAGGGTTGCCATTGACCATAACACCAAATGATACGTTGAGGAGCAGGACTTATAGTTTTCTGTGCATTCTCCAAGAGAGATTTTACCCATACAGTTTTGCCGCTTTGAGTACACCCAGCTACGATGCACGTAAATGGGTGTTGCAAAACTGCAGATCCATTAGTCGTCATGCGAATGTTGACGGTTGGTTTTTGATCATGCACTTTTTGTTTGTGTCGATTTAAATTGAACGGTTTAGAGAAATATTTCCCACAGATATGACATGAATGAGACATGTTTACTCTATGACGAATAGTTAGATAATAAATCTCTCAAATAGAAACCGAGTTTATATAACTAGTATCTCGTAGCCAACTCCCTAGTCTCGGACCCAAGCTCCTTAGGCTCGGAGCTCCTTAGGCTCGGAGCCAGCTCCTTAGGCTCGGAGCAGCTCCTAAGGCTCGGAGCCAGCTCCCCAGGCTCGGAGCCTGCTCCTTAGGCTCGGAGCCGAGCACCTTAGGCTCGGAGCCGAGCTCCTTAGGCTCGGAGCCGAGCTCCTTAGGCTCGGAGCCGAGCTCCTTAGGCTCGGAGCCGAGCTCCTTAGGCTCGGAGCCGAGCACATTAGGCTCGGAGCCGAGCTCCTTAGCTCGGAGCCAGCTCCTTAGGCTCGGAGCCAGCTCCTTAGGCTCGGAGCCAGCTCCTTAGGCTCGGAGTCAGTTCCGAGCTGCTTAGGCTCGGAGCCTTGTCTAAATTGCTTTCTCTCTTCCGATATAAGCTTCCTTATTGTTGTGTTTTACTCATTTGCTTCCAAACCGTCGAACAGAAATGATCAATCTTCTAAGGCACAAGCCATTTCTTGAATTGTTGGGCACGTCTGAGCCTGATCAGCAACAAGCACTACTGGAAACAGCAACCGCCGGGCAAGTACACTGCCTGTGTCTTTGTGTAGAAAACGTTATGAAAAGAAAATATTTAATGTCGAAACATGTAATGAAGAAACTCCGACCTTATAGACATGAAATGCTTAGGTTGGTAGATAGAGGAAAATGTGGAAGAAGAAAAAAACGGATACTCATTCAGCATGGTGAAGGTTTCCATGGACTATTACTAAGTCCTATTTTGGAAAGCCTGGCTGAACTTGTATAAAAGCCCTGTGACTACAAATTATACATCATTTCAACAATGAACATCGAGAGTAAAACATCTCCGCGACATTGGCGCATTGAAGATATACTTTTGTATCTGAACAATAATGTCAAAAAAACTACAGCAGAAAAAATTCTACATTCTATTCTTATATCAAGTGATATTTTAACTTGGAATCCTCAGGGTGAGATTGTTTATCATGGAAGAGACATTCCTGGTACTAACATCGAGAACTTTTTACAATACGCACTTTTACCATACAACTCTCACATTCCTGAACCACGAGGGCTCGACCTGTTTACAAAAGGTCTAGTAGAAGCAGGGGTTAATAAAGATTTAATTAAAAACGAGTATTTATTGTCAAAAATGGCAAAGGAGGAACATGAAATGCCACAATCTGAGAGTGATGTTGAAAGCGAATCTGGTGAAGAGAACAGGGAATCTGACAAAGGTGATAATGAAAGCGAATATGATGATAATGAGGATGATGATAATGAGGATGATGGTGAGCCCGAGAAACTAGCTTGTAACCATTGTGGAGAAGAAACTGGTCACATTGTATACTTAATGAAGTGCCCAAGATGTTCGTGGAAAGATTTCTACTGGGGCAAAGACGCTCAATGTATGATGTGTGATGAACAGTCACCTCTACTGTTTTCGCATGTCATTGGTTTCTGCGAGCTATGTTCGTATGGTACGTCTAACAGCAAGGCGAGCGGATTGGAGTTCACACCAAAAATGGACAAATAAAAGACCCAGCAGATTGGACCGAACGTGACGTAGCGCGAATGACTCCGGAAGCAACAGAGGATTATGAACGTTTTATATTGAGCGATAGACCGAAATATATTCCAATGAAGCCGGAAAAACTTGCAAAGTTATCCCCAGAAGATAGACAAGAATATGAGAACTCTTTAAAAATAACAAAAACACCTAGACGTTACGCTCTTAGAAGTAGACCGTACTAAATTTTGTAAAACGTTTTGAAGAAATAAATGTGTTTAAAAACTGAAATATTGTGTAATATTTTGCCGACAAAGCCCGCTCTTTCCGTCCGCGCGAAAAGATCCGTGTACAAATATGTTGTACTTTAATAAATGCATGTACCCGCAAAGCCACGCGCCTGATTTTAAGGTATACACCTGCGTTAAAAAATAATCCCTATCTATCCATTGGGATACACTTAGTTGTGCAAATTCGTATTACTTTAATCCCCTTAATTACCTACACGCCTCCTAATGACTTAGCAACGCATAACAACGCAACATTTGCAAAGTTTAAAACATGTTTATTGATACAAATAACAGACGATAGTGTCAAAAAATATTACAACTGTTCTAATTCTAACTTCTACTCTTGATAAGCTTTCTTATGATCATCTTAACAGTATATATGTATGTAGGAGGATTGCTAAATAATCTTGAACAACATGCAAATATTGACCATAACAACGACGTTGACAACTCGGGATTAGGAACGTTTACTGTTTAGTTTAAAATATGTCTTGATTTTGTGACGAATAGATTCCTCGCTATGGAACATACAAAAAATCCTTCAATACACATGTGGAAATTTATCTCTTCCGAGCAAAGATACGGCTATAACTCTGCTATATATTAATTTCGATAACAATTTTGCCATGCGAGGGACACAAACTATTCAACACACGTGTGGGACGCTAAAAAATGCGTAGTCAGCAAGTTTCACCTGTGTTTAAGCTCGCCCGCGTGACGTCATTGCATATAATTATGACGTTGATAATGAGTGACGTCATCACTCCTCCTCACTCCTCCTCACTCCTCCTCACTCCTCCTCACTCCTCCTCACTCCTCCTCACTCCTCCTCACTCCTCCTCACTCCTCCTCCTCATTTCTCCTCACTCCTCCTCCTCACTCCTCAATCCTCCTCCTCATTCCTCCTCCTCAAAAATCCGGGTCGAACGGCCTCTATATTACTACTTAAAGTGAATGCATAATTAGCCCATTGTATAATTTATGCAGAATACGTTTACATAATTTGCTGGCGGAGGTATGCAGCGTCTGAGTGCCCTCTAGTGACACGACATAATTCATTCTTTACAATTATTAAATTCACAATTTAATAATTATTAGCTTTGTGTATGGCAAAGAGAATGCCTCGAATGGAATTAAAATTCTGAATGACTCTCTTCAATACTCTACTGTGAACCTCACAATATTACAACGATTCTTAGGAATCGTGAAACTGATCTAGTATTACCAAAATCAAAGAAAGAATTTCTTAAAAGAAGTTTTAAATACAATGGAGCTATATCCATTGGAATAATCTGTCTATTGAAGCAAAGAGCGCTGATTCCGTTTATTCATTCAAGAGAATTATAAAATCTACGGCGAGGTGAAGCTGACCTGTCCTCAATAATATTTATTTGTCGTTTATATATTTTTGTCTGCCTGTTAGTCTTTGTATGCTTCATGTAACTTTAATTTGTACATATTATTTGTGTAATTAGTTAGTTAACACGCCCCTCATGAAAAACAGCTGATGTTGATGAGGCTAGCGTGTCAAAATAAAATATTATGTATGTATGTATGTATGTATGTATGTATGTAATATCACCAGCTCTGTGTACATTTCGTAACGCTAGAATATTCATTTTTTCAAAGGTCCGTTCGGTAAGGTGACGAAATGGTATGCGGTCAACTTCCTTCCCAACCCTTGCACATTACGTGAAGCATTCTCGAGATATATCGACATCACAGCCACACCTTCGCCTCAGATACTCAACTAACCTTTCAACATTGGTAGGACGATTTCTTGCACATTTAGAAAATTCAAAAACTTTGAGAATAGCTATAATGTGCAATTACATTGATCATCAGGAATTTGTTTCATTTTAGGCATCTGATGAAGCCGAGAAGAAAGAAATAGAAATTATTGGAAAGATACGCCAGATTTCTTCCAATTAAGTATAATTATATTAAAAATTATAATAATAAAGAATCGATTGACAGGAGGATGGTCCTTATTGCATGGAACTTTTATGAGATGCAGTTTGAGAGCATGGAGTTTTTATGACAGCTATTTACTGTAGTTGTCAGCTTGTAACTCCAGATTTAGATAGCTATCTCCATTGCCTCTACGTGATTTTTGGAGTTGGCCTATCACTTCAAAATTCTAAATTCACTAAAAATTCCTATCACTAAAAAATTCGATGATAGCATCGCTCCATGACCCCCTAACTTCTGCGACAGTTTTGCGAAACGTTAAAACACTACGTTTCACAGACACGGTCTTGTGTTTTTTACAGGGTGAATCTGAATACGAAGAATGGAAATATCACAAAAATAAGAACATTGTTGAATTGATCGAGGAGTTTTCATCTCTTACTGTTCCTGCTGTTCTCTTACTGACACAGCTACCCCGACTACAACCGGTAAAATTTAAAAGTATAGAACATGGGGCATCCCGCTAGCTTTGGGAAAAGGGGCGTGTGCAAGGGGGTGGGTGCCAGTTTCCTTATTAAATCCAGAAAACTGTTGGCAGTTACAATATACATGGTACTTACGATATGTGTATCAACGAAAGTTTACTATGCACGGCAAATACTTTTTATGACCAAAATGTCGATTGGTTTATATCCAATTTTTCGAACAAATGAGGCGTTGCACACCTTTGGCTATTATCTAAAGCCTACTGTACTCCCCTGATTACTACTGTATATAAAACAATTGTTATATAGTTAGTGTCAAAGTTCAATTTTTCTGTTTGCCAATTGGTCAAAACCGTATCACGTGCCGGTCCACAAAATGTCGTGTTCACTGCGTGCTTTGCCGAGGAGGCAACCGGTCCACAATGAAACATTTATTGACCGGTCAATAATAAAATGGGTGCAATACGCATGCGTGTCAACCATGAAGTTCCAAAGTTCATTTTTTGAACTTTTTATTAAACATTTACGGCATTCCATTTATCCAGTTTTGGTTTCAAATTAAGTTCACTCCAATAACCGGAAAATTTTTCATACTTTGACACTGATATACTATATAACAAAACACTTATTTACTGAGACCTCGGGAAATCAGTGTGTTTTGTGGCCCCGCGACCGCCGTTGTTGCCCTCGGGTCAACAAAACACACTGTTTCCCTCGGTCTCAGTAAATAAGTGATAATTAATATGCCGTATTATTTATTTCTTACCAGAGATTCTACTCTATTTCATCGTCACCTCAAGCACATCCTGGAGAGATCCATGCCACGGTTGCTGTTGTAAGATTTAAAAAAGAAACTAAGTTTCTACAAAGATTGTTATTATAGTATAATGGTGGTTTTAAACAGGCTCGACGAATTATGCTCAACTGGTGTCAGCGGTCTGATTGGTTGGTCTATCATGAAAACCTGTGAAGTGGTTGAACTTTGCTATGAGGAGCGCACGCGTAATTAAAATGGTCAAATTTGACGTCTACTAAAACAATTATTCGTCTCGGGCTCGGTGATTATCAGGGAATATTCGGCGAATAATTGTTAAATACCTGTATTGAGTGTGGAGAGATGCTAAATGTGGTGTCGTTTCTATGAGGGATCTTCCCGGAAACAAGTTTCGTATTTTCATAATTTCATCCCTAGGACTGTGCGGTTTCTGAAACAGATTTTTGGATATACAGCGTTGCATTACACTGTTGTTAGACTGAATTTTTATTTAAGTTTACTTTGCATGATATGTTTATGCAAATACCACAAATCTGTCACTAACGTTTTTAGCTTAGCCTTCCAACAACTCGAATCTATATATATAGGATCTGGATATGCTAATAATGCTATCCACTGGGAAATTTTTATAATCTAATGTACTTACAACACAATGTTTGGCATTTTTAAAAAGACATTGAATTATTTGAAGATGAAAGACATAACATAGTATTCACAAAGCAAATTTCAGTTACTAAAATATCAAACCTCCCTTTTGACTGAATTCCATTTTTCTTTTATTGTTTTACTTCTATTTTACAAAAAAAGGACTTTGACTGTGGGCAAAATGGTTGACTGGGGGGCACTATGGGGACAAGGTGGGGGTTTCCCTTCCAAATTCTTAAAATAGTTTAATTAAGGCGAAATATTTTTTCTCAAACCAAACACAAAATTGAGTTATTATTGAATTAAACTAATATGGATTCTCAAACTGTGTTTAAAAACAGGATCTCTTGCGAAGTTATTTTTGGTCGTATTTTGCAAGATGACTTCATTTGTCTTTAACTGCGTGGTTCTCCTCCTTCATCTGCCCTGGGTGGGCTTAGCTCAGGATCATTCAACGTCCTCACCGGAAGTTAAAAATGCTACAAACCTGAATATGACGATGTTAAATCTAACCAACGCATCGATCATCTGCAAACAGCTTCGAATAAATGATTCAGCAATCGAGAATATCCTTCGACTTATTCACGATCCTATTACGCATGTTGTAGAAATAAAAGTATCCATCAATTCGGGGAATAAAACGCGACGTTTTCCAGAATTCATATGGCCTTGGGCGAATGAAATTGGTCGAACAATAATCTCATTGAAAGCACAATCCAACGCTATATTTAACCAATTCTCTCTTCGAATAAGTACGCTTAATGTTGGGATCGAAAAAGTGGATGTTGTTGTTTCTGAGGAATATTATGGATGTTTACCAGCAGGAAGCAAAGGATCCGAAATTGTTTTTGACTTTCTGTTACATAACCTTTCTGATTCAGACGACACTCATGATTACAAGTTATGCCGCGCCTTCAATAATGAAGTCAACTTGATAAAATATAATTGTTGCAGAGTAGCCAGTGATGGATAGCTGACAATTTGTGCTGAATATTCATCAATTGTACTCGAATATGCTGAATGTTACATAACAATCATGATTCTAGGTAGCATCATTATTTTGCCTTTATTTCTAACATATTTAAGATCATTTCCGAACGAAAGTGATCATTATAAGATTACTGATAGTCCAATGGCACTTTCATATATTTTCCATGCCATATTTATTGATGGGTCCGGAGAAAAATCGCGTTATAGAAGATTTTCTTTTTCTCTTACAATCACATTGGTTTTTTGTGTTAGTTCATCAGAATGGCATTTGTTTGTTATTTTGTCGCTGTGGACTGTTCTTTTTACGTCTTGCGATATTTTTGGGATAAACAAATACTTAACTGAAGAAAGATTATACGCTGTTGCGTTAAACAAATTAATTTCACCTTTCGAAATAATATTCTTGCTAATTCATACGCATGAACAACAAACAAATCCTCAAACATCTCAAGAAGAAAACTCCCAGCAACCTGATCCAAACCTTCAACAATCATCTCAAGAAAACCCTCAGTCAGTCAGCTGTCTGGGAGAAACATGGAAATTTGCAAAAGCAGCATTTCAATTTGCAAAAGGCTTGCTCCTCGCGCTTTTTTATTTAATATTTTTAATTCTATTTTGCTTTTTCACCTACTCTTTACTCCTACCATGGACATATATAACATTACTGCAACCTCGGTTTGAAAAAGTCACTAATGCACGTAAACTTTTTCGGCTGTTATTATGCGCGATTTTCCTGGCTTTTTCTATATCCATTATTTATACCTTCTTGATGTATTTTATGTATTTAACGCTCTCTTTAATTGCCGGTATATACCTCAACGGGAAATATTTCAGTCCATGGGTCGTGCCTACAATAGGTCTTGTCGCATATTCTATGAAACGCTGGAAATCGTCTGTTGAAACAAAGTATTTGGTCCTGAAAACAAACATATACGTAGTGTGCAAGGAATTATATGAAAGCAGCGCACCAAGTGATAAAATTCCTGAAAGAAGACACAACAATCTATTTACAGTAAATGTCAGTGATGGAAAGATTCCGAAAGCTCTCTATAAAACGATAAGGGAAAAGATTTTGCCTTATAACAAGTTGTTTTATTTCTTTGCCAGGTTGTTTTTCGCTTTCAATTTCTTTCTTCTTGTACTTGTTATGATGTTACTAGCCCAGGAATCCAACATCTCAGGACCTGCACAGATAATGAGCACAATTGTAGTGAGCACATTCCCGTTCATTTTCGACGCAATTTGGACCGAAGATACATTTGAACAAAAATATGTAAATGACAAAGAACAACAACAAAAGATACGCAACTTGATAAAATTAGAAGAGCATGAGATAACGGTTGGCATTAAAAAAGATGAAGAACACATGGCTATTAGAAATTTCAGCGACTTTTGTAGCTTGATGATGAAAGGCACTAAAAATAGAAAGCTTCAGGAAGGAAGATATCAGGGGGAGTCAAGTGAAAATCAACCGTTGTTGACGAATGAAACTCGTATATTATTTGAAACAAGTAATAGCTATGAACGATTATTCATTTCATATATTTATTAGACTAAATTTAGCATTTTTTTATAAGTTTACTATAGTTACTCAGTTAAACTACTCTCGGATAAACGGCGCAGTATAGCACTACAGTTACCAGAAATTCCGTTTCTACGACTCAATTGCAGCAAACATTCTAAAAATCCAAAGAAACGTGTTCACTGGTTTTGTACTCAAGATTTTAGGCGGGAATTAAATATCCTCCGTACACTGTAAATTTCAAAGAGTTGAATCATTATTCAAAAACGATAACATGCAGAATCACACTTTCGGAGTTGATTCAATTCTTTGAAATTCATGCAGTGTACCCCACTTCCGGATACTTTAAAAAATGTCGCAGCTAATTTAACCGAGTAAATACAGCAATAAGCGGCAAAACAAATATTAATACAATGGTTTGTAATACGACTAGTGGCTCTCGACTAAGCGGCCGCCTATAGGATCGAATATGCTCCATGCCGCTGGGAAAATCTTTAATAAACATTCCGACGTTTATTCGAGTAAATACAATAATCAGTGGGACTGGCAATATAATTTAATAAACTGTGATATTTGTAAAACGGCACTGATCATGTATAATCATAAATATAAATACATTGATTATTTTTGGGGTCCAGCAAAAATGATATTTTTGGCCACATTTATAAATTCGGCATATATTACAATGTCACTGATCTGAAGACTAGAAGTCCTAGAACTGTATTGTGCATATATGCATAATTGAACCAATGCATGGCAGCAGTTAGTCTGACCACCACAAATCTACTGTGCATGGTAATTGAACTAGGCATGGTTAATTCAACATGTAGAAAGTAATTTTTTAATCTATTCTGTTTAATTTGTAGTATTCTCCTAAAAATCGACCGTTTAAAATATATAAATCCTCTAAGGCTCTATTTGAATCTGCATATATATGCAAGATGGCAAAATGCAAAATTATTTTGTTTGCCTGAAGTGTGATATCTTTTATATCAAGAACGATGAAGAATATCTAAAACACCACTTTTGAAATTTATTGGATCACTCTTAATTTCAAGTGGGGAAAAGTTTATTTTTATTGCCATTTCCCTTTCAAAATGATAATATATACAGCTATTTCAATTAAGGTTGTCCCCCAAGCAAAGCGGAAAAGTCGAATACAAGCGCGAAAAATGAATGAAAATGATAAATGAATGAATTTATTAGCGATTCCCAGCAGCCTTCCGCGCTCATATTCGACTTTTCCGCTTTGCTCGGGGGACAACCTTAATTGGAATAGCAGTGTATATATAAAATATTATATATAGAAGTTTCACGAATATTTCTGGGATTTGTATACATATTAAGATACTTTGAAAGCTCTCAAAACTTCTCACTTTACTGAATGCAAATGCAATTTGTATTTAAACAATTCAATTTCAATCTGTCCGTTCTATCGTTCAGTTTCTGACTATATTAAACAGTATAGGTAATGTTCATATGATTAATACATGATAAGATATATTATACCGAGGCGGGCAGGCCTATCAAATTGCTCAATCAGTAAGAACGTAGAATCTACCCAACTAAACACTGACTGGGGAGGCTGCAGCTTTCCCGGTCCTTTTCCTCCTCGTCTCGTGTTTCAGGTTGGTTGTTCATGTCAATTTACGCAATTACATATCGCCTCTCTCCCTCCGCTTTGCGGTCGTTTAAGAGCGAATTGCACAACACCAAGTTCAAATTAATTTTAATCAATTTAAAAATAAATTTATTTAAAAAAACGGGGAATATAGGTGCCGAAAAATCAGTATTCCCAGATTCCCCGATGCAAATAAGTGAGACTTCCTTTATTTTAGGATTATACTTTATTGAGTTAAATGAACAACTTTTACATACATGCAGAAAATATACCCAATGGGAGAGAGGTTGCACACACGGCATAATAGATTACACTATACCCATGCGAGGCACCTTAAATTTATACCAACAAAATACGTATTGCACATAATATTTAGAATGAAAAAGTTAAGAATTTGAATACTGTCAACTCCTGTGACAAAGAAACTAACATAGAATAAGAATTATAAAGTATAACGTTTAAATGTTTTGACACTAGTGACTAGAGAAAGTATTTGGACGAGCTACTTTGCAAACACTGTTTAATAATTTTACAATCCTGTTGTAATAAGAGCTCTGATACGTATAATGGTGTTACATAAAGGAGTCTTGGATATCAGATTTGGAATTAAAGTAAGGCGGGAACGATTATGGGTGACCAATAAAGACATATGAAGAAAACCACTGGTTCTGTTTCACTGTCATAAAACAAAGGCCAAGGGGATTCCTATAGCTAATTAAATATTTTAGCATTTGAATGGTAAATTGTTTACAGGGTTGTATGTATAATAAAGAGACCTTTAGAAATTAACCTTATTGTTATAATTTGAATGCTATACAGGGTGTCCCAAAAAAAACGAAAACTATTGAAATCACCAATAACAATATAATTGTTAGAATTTGAATGCCTATATAATTTTATGCATAAAGAAACTATTTAAGAAGCTGCTTTAAATTCCCAAGAGCAGAAAATCGCGCACTTTACAAGGAGATGTTCTTAGCTAAATTTTAATACATGCACCTTGTCAATATTTTACGCATCATTACGTTCAGTTTTTTTGGTAGGGCATTCAATTTTAACAATAAGTGATTTCAATAGTTTACGTTTTTCGGGGGACACCCTGTATATTGTGCTTAACAACAATAGATTAATTTATAGAGGTCTCCTTACTCGGTATGCAATAAACCTTTCTTATAATGACGTCAAAAGTGGATAACACTTATTGCGTTGTCCCAAAGGACAATTCAAATGTTGTTTTTATCAGTGAAATTTATTCGGACTTGCCATGCAACGACTGTGGGACAAAAATGGTTTCCGCGTTTGGCTTCATTATAAGAAACGTCTATTGTGCATTTGTCATTTATTGATTATTGTTTGAGGTCTACACTGTGCATTTGTTTATTGATTTATTGACTCCATCTTTTGGGTTTTGTGCCATTTTATAATCTTTATCTGAAGACTATCACAAGAAGAACCGTATGTTATCAAAACTCCAAGCCTTAAAATATCTTTCACAGGGCCGTCTGACAAAATGTCCGATGACGTTAAGTTTGGGTCGGACATATGTTCGATGACCTTCAGTTCAGTTTTGACTCGGAAATAAGTCTGAATGACACAAATGAATATCAGCACAATGTATTAATTCTGAACAGTAAATGTTGTGAAGATATTAAATAATTTGTTTCTTTCATACTTATTTCCAAGCCAAAATTAACTTGCTTGCCAGAACAGCAGTATTAAAAAAGACTTCGACAACTTAAGCTCGTTTTCCACTTCACCATTTCGCTCGCCGCCCCGCCCTCGACTATGTTAAAACATTTCCAGTTCACTTTTTATACAATAGTACTCTGATTTTCCATTTAACATACAAGCCTCTAGTCCTGGGCTATAGGTATACATTTTGATTTACGTTGGACAAAGCTGCAATTCGGTCGGACACAAATACACTCCGGTCGGACAAACAATAAACCTCAATTTCACTTAGGTCGGACAGAATGTCCGGTGGTTTCCTCTCTACGTCGGACAATTTCACGAATGGGTCGGACAATGTCCGTGACCGACCAATATTTTAAGGCCTGAAACTCGTGCACAACCTCTATACAAGGTAAGCTAGATGCTATTATAAAGCCCCGCTCAAACCAGAATGAGAGTTGATGAGAGTTTTGAAGCGAACGTTTGCATGAGAGTTTTGAGAGTTGAATGAATATTAACCGCGCGCGTGGCAAAAAGTCTCATCAACATTCGTCAGCATTTGAACCAGTTCAAAGTCGATGAGAGTTGATTATCAAATGCTAGCAAGAGTTGAAACGCCCATCAACTCTCGTTAACTCTCATCCTCGTTTGACCGAGACTTAACAAACATAGTAACATACGCACTGTGCTGCAGAACAGAAAGTAATGAACCGAAAAATCATGAGGTAACAATAAATTACTGACAATTGGGAAACGCGCCGTCAAGGCAATGCCGTACAATCCGGATGGCCACGTTGAACAAATTAAACTAATATTTGAAATGTACCTTTAATTGAAAACCTTAAACAGCCTTTTAATTTAAAATATAGTTTAGATCAGTGGTTTCAAGCAAAAGTTTTGCAATGGCTTGTATTCTCTCGATCTATGGAGCAGGTTAAACCATATATTCAAAAATGTAAGCCTTTATACTAATCACTGAACTTCGGTTGGTAGCGATGCAACTATACAAACGCAAAAATCTCACATCTTAATGTATACTAACAAGTCTGACAAACAAGCCATCAACAAGATGTATTCGCACTGCTTGTCACAAGTTGTCAACAGGTTTGGAACAACTTGTTGACAACTCACGAAATGAGACCGACCAACCACTGAAATGTGAATCCAGACCGACTCTTGCTGAGTTGGTGTGTTGCAATAAAAAAAATGGAAATTGATGGCATTTATTAGGAATTTTGCAAGCGGAACACATATACAGTTTACTGTGAAAAGTTATATTTTTATTAAGTGTCCGCGCTTAGTCAGGTTTGACCACGGATTAGCGATTTCGTCAAGATCGATTATGTCTGTTAGATCGCGCTCACACGCAAGAAAGAGTCAAGAGTTCACCAAGGCGTTCCTGGTTCATTACTGAGCCTCATAACAGTTTTCACTGATTTCAGCTTTGAAAAGCTGCGCTCGACTGATGTGGAACTGTCAGGCGCGTAACTATAGGATTTTTGATTGACCGAGACACTTCTGCGGGGTCTTTTTATTAAAATTTTGAAAAAATGTATAAAAATTTTGATTTTCTAAGGCTTAGAAACGCTATTTTCTGCATTCTGGGAGCAGTTCAAACGAAAAATCAATTTCATAAACAGTGACACAATGAATATAATTTTATACTGTAGTTTGCCCCCATTCCTGAGGCTAAGAAT